AAAACAGTTTTACTTATACTCTCCAAGGCTGCATTTATTTAATAAAAAAATACAGTAAAAATTTTAATATTGTGAAATATTATTGCTTTTTTTTATATATATATTTTTTTTAAATGTAATGCCTTATGTCGATTTGGTACTCAAGAAAAATGTATTATTATCAATGTTAAAAACTGTTGCGCTGCTTAATATTTTTGTGAAAACCGTGATGCATTTATTTAAAAAATAGCTTTTTTTGTAACATTTTAAATGTCTTCACTGTCATCAGTTTAATGCATCCTTGCAAAATAAAATAACATTATTTTAAAAAATTTTATAAAAATTAAATAATAAAAAATCTTAAGCCAAAATTTTGAACAGCAGTGTAAGTCAGATACCATTAACAACATAAAACAGTTCTGGAGATCTAGATTATTTGCTACTAAGTGCCTCAAACAATATCTTTCAAAGAATTGATATCACTAACTTCTCTAGTTTTTCATCCTCAAAAGCATTCTTTGCATGCATCATCTCAGTACCTTATAAACATGACTCAGTTTCCAGATGGACAGACAGAAAACCCTGCATGCCCTTGCTCCCAGAAATTCAATCAAGACAGCCGATAAGATTAGAGCTTGCCAGGTCAGTTGCTAACAGTCTGAGGTTCTGTGTCATTTGAGGATAAGACTATCCAGGCAATAAGTTAAATCAGGAGTTTTTAATGTAAACGTTGGCTGTAAACTACATTAATTGGCCTCTTAGCAACAGTCTCACATGCGTCAGATGAAAGGAGGCATTTTGCTTTGAACAGTCCTAGACATGCAAGCAGCAAGAGAGGAAGTCCAATTTTCCTCTAAGAGACAGAACAGTGAGACATCTCTCAACTACAAAAGCTAGTCCTGGTCTCAGTTTACAGGGTTCAGTCACCTCCTTTTAAACTAGTTTGCAAGTAACAGTCTTAAAATTCTCCCACGGGCAGAGAGTTCCTGCAGATTCATATTACCCCAACTATTAACTGTCTGGATGAGCTGGATGACGTAAACTGATAAGTAAGCTGCTTTTGCATCACTTGAGTGGAAGATAAAATTGGAGGTAGGGAGACGGGGGGAAGGATAGAGGCAGGATACTCAGATGAATCGATAAATATCACTTGTGTCCTTGGCACTTGGCGAATGACCAAAAACAGCAACATGATACAGAAGAAGAGACAATAGTGCAAACCATCTACGGTCAGTCCTTTATTATTTGAACCGAAGCTTAACTGACCACTTAGTGTGCATACAGTGCATACACCTCACAAGGAAAAAAGTAAATCATTTTGATGCATTTTGCAAAAATGTAAGGCTTTTCTTTAAATTGTTGCCATTATTTGACTGGGATACAAGCACAATCACCACTGCTGACGTTTCTGGGACACTGGAAATTCCAGTAAATAATGCACCTTTGTGAAAACAAGCGTTTACCTGGCACCAGCTGTACCACAACGCATCCCCCATAATTGAGTGGGTCTGAGAAACTGCTAAATCCAAAATGATCGGTTTTAGCTCCTCTGCCGAAACAGCTGGGAACATTTCTTCTGAGGACAATTGGTTTTTATATACAGTATCTCACAGAAGTGAGTACACCCCTCACATTTTTGTAAATATTTTATTATATCTTTTCATGTGACAACACTGAAGAAATGACACTTTGCTACAATGTAAAGTAGTGAGTGTACAGCTTATATAACAGTGTAAATTTGCTGTCCCCTCAAAATAACTCAACACACAGCCATTAATGTCTAAACCACTGGCCACAAAAGTGAGTACACCCCAAAGTGAAAATGTCCAAATT